CTATTAATACTTAATTAATTGTTTGTTATTAATAATTTCCTAATAAAGCGTATAGTAATAAATATAGTAAATTTGCTATAATTTAATACTATAAAAACTTATAATAAAAATTGAAAATAAACCATCATTACATGGATAAGGCTCAATCTGATGTGCTTGCCCAATTCCTTGAACAAGAACTAAGCGTTGACCAAAAAGTAAAGAGGATACAAAGAAAAGTATCAGAGTATATGAAATATTATAATTATGAAGAATATGTAGATAATCCAACGAAAAGACTGGAAGAGAAAATAAAAGATGTTGAAGGAGTTTTAGATAGAATGGATGAAACAAAGCAGAGAAGTGATATTGTAATGAGATTTGCACAAGACACAATCAATGATATGGTACATTGGATAGATGATATCAACTCTGTGATAGAGTCTATTACAATATCAACTAATAAAGTTGCAACAAGAAACAATGAATTAGTTTTAAGACTCACAGATATGGAACATCAACTCTTTGAGGAAAAAATAAATGTAGCGCAATCAGATACAGAAAAGAAAGAGATCGAAAGAAAATACAACAAACAAATTAGTGAAGCGAATGAAATGGTGATAGAAAACAAAAACAATACACCAATTATAAACACACAAAATGAAATTATTCAAGTTAAAATAAAAGACGTTGAACTAAGAAGAAAAAATCAAGAATTAAAAGAACAAATAGAACTCCTTAAACAAGAAAACATGGTATTAAAAGAAGAGATAAAGTCAATGCATAAAAAGTTTTAGATAAATTGAAATGTGTTTTTTAAAAAAATGAATTAGAAATATAGGTTATTATTGTTTTATCAATTTAAGCAAGTCCAAACCCAACCGCATTTTCAATTGCAAACAATAATTTTTCTTTCATTATTTCCTTATTTTCGTATGGTGGAAGATGAAGTGCATTAAAACAAGTAGATGCTGTTGGGAATTTTTCTGGGTCACCATAACGATCAATGAAGAAGATGAGATTACCTAATCCACCAACAGGAACACGATCATTTGAAGTAACAAATATTAAGAGTTTTTTCTTTTGTTCTAAAGTCAAAGATTTAGCAATTTCCCAGAAATATTTGATTTGAGGAGAGTTTGGAGTATAATCTTTATATTTTGCATTTCTTTCTAATGCATCAAAGTCATATTCCTTAGTACCACAAATAACCAATTCGAGTTCTTCTGGTCTCATTGACTATAAAATAAATATCATTGGTAATAACCACACACCCTCAATAGTATAAATCAAAAGAAATAAGAAGACATATAATGATTCATCATAACTTACAATTTAAAATAAATAATAACAAACTAATAATAATGGTGATGAAACAACTTGTCTAAATCCTTGTTTAAATGCATCAAACTGTTTTTGAACCGATGATGTACAATAAAAATCAGCATAACGATCAAGATAGAGTTGTAAATTTTGATTTGTAACAATAATGTCTCTTCCACCTGGAATTAATTCGTAACTTCTATTTTCATCAAAATAATTTTGAACTGCTTCAAATGTTAATTGTAATGAAGAAACATCATCAACTTTACTCATTTCTTTTAATTGCATAAGACTATTATAGACCTCAGGATCAAGAATATTATAATCATCAAATGTTAATGGAATATCAAGTAATTTCTTATATAAAATAGATGGAAATGAAATATCAAGAATGATGTTGTTATAAATTGCCAATCCTAATACTATTCCAATTAATTTAAAATCTTGTAAATCATCTGCAAAACTACAAAACCAAAATTGTCTTGTTTTATTATTGTATGTGAACATTCCAAAGTCTACTTTAAATAATTCTTTCACAATTAAACTAAACCACTCTTTTGATACTCCTCCTTGATCAACTCCAACTTCTCCAATGAATTTTATTTTTAATTCTTTTTTCAAATCAATTGGTCGTTTATTAACAAGAGAATTTAATGATGATAAAAGAAGGTTATCTCTATCAATTCTTAATTCAAGATATGGACTGAATAACTCAAAAAAATTATTTTGTATTGCACCACTAAGTGTAAGTTGTTGTTCACACCTATTTTCTTCATGTACTACTAATACTCTAGTATATAACTCGATAATGAAACTATATGATAATAATCCTTCCCTAACAATGTTTAGTATTTTTAATTTATTATTTAAATATGGCTTTATAAAAAACAAACTTGTTTTTAAAAAACAGGTCAAAATCATCACTCCATTCTCTTTTAATATTTATTGAATAAACATAAAAAGACTTATAGTCAATAAATTCATTGGCTATGTTCATTTCGTAAAGTATCTTAAACAAACGAAGAGCATATATCATAAATGGATATTTGTTACTCCTCTGAACTGACCCTTGTTTAAACATTTCATCTAAGAATGAATGAACCAAAAAATGAACTTGTCTTAAATGTTCAGGACTCATTTGACAAAGAAATTGATGTATAACTTCTTTATTAATTGGATTTTCAGTTATTAATTTAAATAAGGCTCCATAATAGTTGTGGTACTTTGTTTGATAAGGAACACAAAGGAATAATACTCGTTGTTCTGGTTGAACTAAAGAAATAGAATTAAAGACTTTTTTGATTGTTTCCGGATTAGACACATTAAATAAAAAGTTCATAAACAAGAAAATTGACTGATGATTAATGTACTCAAAGCCTTTAGGACGAGAACTACAATTATCTGGAAAATCTCTGAAAGAGGCTTTAAGAGAATTGTCATTTAAATATGCTTCAATAGGTAATTGAAAAACATCATTTGGAGTCATTGAATAAATTTGTTTCGGTGTTATAAACTTACAGCATTCTTTATATTCATTGATGGCTGTAAGAACTACAAAGTCTCCCATTTCATTTTCACTAATAGAACTATGTTCAGGGTTTGATTTACAATATGCATTATTACACATTGGATTACCACACCCTTCTTTAATAGAATGGGTAATGTTATCCATCCTTGTTTGTAACTCATCCTCCGAGATTTCCATGATGATTTAGTCAGTTTTATTATTTTTCTTTCTCTCTTTGTCACACATCAATGACGAGATGCCACGTCAGTAATCGATTTTTACTTAGAAGTTTAGTTGAGGTATGAATAATGAAAAAGACTTATTTCAATGATGAATTTTATTTAAGGCTAAGAAAAACTAATTACTAATTAGTTGTATTATTCTTCTTTTTGTATTATTACATGACAGTTCACAAAAGTTAGTATTTGTAGAAAGAATTTTGTAGTTTATGTCTTAGTTCAATAATAACAAGATATAAACACAGTTGGCATTGGAAAATTTAACTTTTATAATGTAATTATAAAGAGTTGATGTGGAAACCAGCTTGGTAAAATTGCCAATACATTATTGCTCTAAGAAAAATGAAAAACAAAACTATTTTTTGTTTTTTTTAGAAAAAGGTGAAGATTATATCTTTTTTTACTATTTCGTAAAGAAAGGATCTTATTAATTTTATTATCCAAGTTAGAATGCAAAAGCTTCACTTTGTTCGAGGAAATAGTATACAAGATATATATCTCAAGTCTTTGTATTCTAGAACAACTTCCCCTTTTAGTTCAGTTTGTTTTATTAGAAAATATAAATGAAATTGCAACACTAATATACTACAGGCATCAACTGAAAGTTCTGTAGTTATGCTGGGAACAGTTCATACAACTTCTGTTCTATCAATCAGAGAAACGTTAAATGAAATTGGTAAACAAATAAATGATAAGATGTTATATTATTCAAATCAATTAATATCTGAGACTAAGATGTCTGAGCAAGAACTGATTGATGCCTTTCCTATTCTAATTAAAGAAGAACCAAGTTATGAAGAATTTACTATCTCTGAAAGAGATTCAAAGAAATTACCTACTAAAGTTCTAGACTCTTTCCAATTTGTCTTTCTCTTCTTACATCTTTCATTCACTTTTCATCATCATATTTCACATTCTTCTTATCTTCCATTGTGTATTAACTCATTTCAATACCTAACCTCACTTAGACTTTTACTCCATTATTTTAAATTTTCTAACACTATTGTTAATTCTTCACAATCTTTTGATATTTCTAAGACAATTAATCAAAACACATTAATGAAAATTAATGATAAAACATTATTGTCCTTATTTCATTTACATACTTTATATCTTCGTTTATTAAGTCAAGAATATTCATCATTTACAGGAGAGATTTCTTCATATTATTTTATTGAAAAATCACTTAACCCTTCTGCTCATTGCGTTTGGAAGTCATGTGATAGTCTTAATACTTATTTGAGTGCTGGATTGATCACATCAAATAAGTGTTGGAAATTAGCAAATGATATTAGTTCTTTATGTGATACTATTGAGACAATTAAAATTATCAAAAAATGGATGGAAAATACGTCAGAAAATTCTTTAGATATTTCAAAAAAAGTTATGGAAATTATTTGCAATAATCATTGGGAACTAAAGAAGAGAGGCCAAGTTATGGTTGAGTCTTCTCATTTATGTGGAAAAAGTCTCTTAGGGTCTCAGTTATATCTTTTTGAAGGATGTCTGCTTGTCTTTTCAAATCAAAAAAATGGAGATATAATATTTAAGGAATGGTTTCCTTCAAATAAAATAGTTTTATCTGATATAAAGAAATACATTTTTATTGGAAAAGAAACTGAGTTATGTGAAATGAAAATTAGTAGTATAGAAAATACTTCTTGTTACATCAAAATAGTCTCAAATGAAAATGAAATAAAAGAATGGAAAAATCAAATCAACTGTGTAAGAAAGGGAGATATTAATTTTACTTCAAATACCCATGGAAGTCTATTACAAGGAAAGCGTTTAAGAAAGTCTTCAATTCAAACAAAAAGAGAAACAATCAATTTAACTCCTATAAATAGTTATACTAATGGAAAAGTAGAAAATATCTCTATAAACGTAGGACTTATTTCGCATTTGCTTGAAATGATTCGAATTGGATTTACTTGTAATCCATTTAAAGATGAAAATAAAGAAAGTGACTGTGTTCGTTGCATGAATAGTATTATTAAATTATTAGACAAAAAGAAAAAATTATTTGGAAAAGAAGTAATCAATCATTTTAAAGACTTAAGAGCAAAAAGTCCTGATAAAGTAAAAGAGGTAATCAGTCTAATACTTAGAGATAAAAGTATAGCCACTGATTCAATAATTATTTCCGAGCTTATTATTCTTGTTATTAACGATTTAAAATTATATCTTAATGAGAATACAACAAAAAAAGATTCAAATGAAATAAAAGAAGTTTATGAACTATTTAGTTGCTATTTTGGAGATAAATCTATGGCTCCAGTACTTGAGACAATTGTCGAAAATTATGAAACGATAACCACTGAGTCATTTAGCCTCATCGATAGTTTTATACTACATCCACTTCTTTTTCATAAAATTGAAAATGCACATATTATAAGTTCCTTAGGATCTATGACTGTTGTATTTGATAGATTAGGAAATGTACAATTTAGAAAACCTGAAGGAGATATTAGAACATCATTTAAATTATCACAGCCAGTATTTCAAGTATGTTCTAATAAAGATAGCTTGATTGGTGTTTCAACAAATAAAATATTTTTTATGAATGTGTCAGGCATATTACGAGAAATCCCAATGACATGTCAAAAAGTATATTGTGGATATAATAAAATTTATATACTAGCTGATAAAGAACTTAAAGTTTTTGATTCTAGTTTCTTATTACTAAATTCTGTTCCTCTTGAAATTGATGCTGCTATCATGGAAATAAATTCCTTAGATACTCTTTGTATTTATGGTAAACAAAATGACACCAATAGAATGATATTAATTAATTCATTACTTGAAATTGTTTCTAATGAAGAAATTCCAAGAAATGACTCAGTAACTGCTGTTTGTTGTGCTGGAGAATATTTATACGTTGGAACGATTAATGGTGTGTTATTAAAATATCGTGGCAATTTCTTAGTTGATGAAAAAGAATTAAAATGTGGTAAAATTTCATCAATTGAGTTTTTCACAAGAACCATATTTGTTTTTGCAAAAGACCTTCCATTGGTTGTACTTTATGATAAAGGACTAACTATTTTGAGTATTGGAGAAATGTGGGGATTTAGTGACTGTTATACAACCAAAACTCAAAACGACAAACGATTAGCATATACACAATTATCTCCAGATGCTATTATTGAGTCAACACGAAAAAGAGTTAATTCGTCAAAATCTATCACAAATTCTTTAAGTAAAAAAGAACGAAAATGTGATTTTTGGATTATTTCAAACGATGGTAATGTTGGAAAATTTAGTACAGGTAATATCCATCATAGAAAAGAAGATATGTTAACTGAAACATATAAGTTTTATAAGACTGAACATTTCCACCATTGGACAATAAGTAATACTACTTATTATACATTATGCGATATTTGTCATCAAAAAATTAAATCAAATTGTTTCTCTTGTATTCATTGTAACTTAATGATTCATACTCACTGTGTATATCCTTTACAACTTCAACAATATTGTACCAAGTAACTATTATAGTTTTATGGTTTTATTTTTAAGTTTTATTGTTAATTCTTTTTAAACAAGAAATTCAATATGATTGAGACAAGTTTATATTTCATATTAATGTTAATTGGTTAAATAAAGAAAAGACTCTATTAATAATAGGAGGAAACTCTAATGATAATAAACTGATTGATAAAAAGAAATAAGATAAATAATCAATATAAATTAACATAACACAAAATAATGAATAAAATAATTTAAATAAAAAGAATAAAAACAAATAATAGTTAGAATAACAAATAAAAGATTAAATATAACAAAACAAGAAGTAATTAAAACAAAATAATGGTATTATAATATTTTACATCTAACAAAGTATCATTAAAAAGTAATTATAATAAACTATTCAATTTATTATAATCAATTTTACGTTTAATTTAATTGTTAGTGAGTACTTGTTCTTTCGCTAAAAAAAATTTCTAAAAGAAATAAAAAAATTAAAATCATAAAAAATCATTTCATGACATCAAACAACTATATCCGACTAAATGATAAACCACTACCTCCTCTTCCAACTAACCAAATTGAAATGTATGAACCACCAACAATGGTTAATGAACAACAAAATAATATTCCAATACCAACTAGTGGAGTATTTGTACCTGAGAAATCACCTATTGAGAAATACTTACCATTAGTCCTTTTTATTGCTGGGTTTTTTATTCCAGTATGTTGGTTTATTAATATATGTTTATGTTGTTGTAAGTTTAAGACAGGGTCGTTATTCCCAATTCTTTCAGCTGTTATGTTATTAGTTTATACATTAATTTCTATTATTAGTTTAATAGGAATAATAAGAGGTATGGTTTATTTATTTTCTACTATAGAAAATAAAGAAAATGGTAGTTTATGGGATTTTATTTTTGCTCTTCTCAAGTTTATTTAAACCACTTAATATTTATCCACTCTTATTATAGTTATTTTCCTATTTGAGAATATAAACAATTTAAAACAAGCATCCTAATTGATAGATTTAAAACTACTTTATTATTATCACATTAAATAAATTTTTGTTTTTTATTTTAGAAAAGGAAAAATAATTAAAACCTTTTCAACAAATTTGCCTTAACAGCGTTTTCATTTAAATTTATTGTTTCTTTGAAGGAGCATTGTTAGCTTTCTTTTGTCCTTTGACAATTCCAGAAACAGCTTTAGCTACATTCTTAGCTTTTCTAAGATGGGCAACAGCATCAAATGCCTTCATTCCCTTTGTAAGGGTCTTAGTCTCAAGGGTACATGGAGCAGTTAATCTGATAACCTTGTTAGCATCAAGAACTTGTTTAGCTTCTTTTTGTTGGACTGGAAGTTTATTGAATTGTTTAGTCTTCTTTTGTTCTTTAGCAACTTGTGCAGCAAAAGCAACTTGGGCTTTCTTAAGTCCCTTAAGGCAAGCCTTAAGTTCTTTAGCTTTGGCAGCGTCTTTGGTTTTAGCATAATCTTTCTTAGCAGCAGCA